TAGCTTTTTTGTTGTATGAACTCCACCTCCACGTGGCATGATATAATATCCTTCAACAATAAATATATAAATATAAATAAATAAAATGAAATTATTTGAAATTTGGTTGGTTAAATTAAATGTAAAAATTTTAAAATTATTTAAATGCTAATAAAACAAATTATATTTGTACTTACGGATCAACTTTTGTGAAATTACTTTGAATTGTTGTCTTATATCATTAAATTGATTAAAAATTAAATAATTTTTTACTTTAAGTAAATTATAGATTATTCTCTTAAACTTGACTAACACACGCGCGTAGTAGGTGGGCAAAACAAACACTGTTGTACGTTATGTTAGACACGAACAAGTTAAATGTGCGCGGCGCTTAATAATTCGGACGTCAAATGGTATAAACGTGGAATACAAAAATGGATGATTTGAACGAAAGAAATTTTATTCATAATACATTTCTGGGCGCTGGGCGGGTTAGGCTGAATCAATGCTAAGAATAATTTCATGGAGGGACATAAAAACATATACAGTGATATTTTGGTGTCACCCCTTGTGAGGGTGTCACCCGCTGCGGTCCGCACCCCCCGCACCCCCCTAGTGACGCCACTGGATAAATGAACAATGATATTTGATGAACAACAAAATAAAATTCAGTATTTGTTAATGAAACAAAGGTGGCAAATCTGAACAACGTTGAATGGGAGAACAAAATTTTGACTATTTTGAAATTTGACCGCAATTTTGGTCGGTGTGGCCAAAATTAGGCTGGTGGCCTTTATTACTTAATTTTTGGTTCATAACTTGGTAATTGACAAAATACTAAAAAAGAGAAAAACGTGATAAACTCAAGATGCTATGAAAAATAATAAATCATTCGTTGGAAACATTTAAGATGTATATTGAAAATATTATTTCATAGCTCATTTTTTAAATGTAATAACACGAATAATAAAAAGGCGAATCGGATACATTTATCGAGAGACACAAACAATAAAATAATCCCCAAATAAACGTATCATAATTATTTAGCGGGCGAATTTATGTTTGAGCAATAAACCTGCTGTTACTCATTTACCACCGACTAAATTTTTTTTATAATTTTAATAAATTTTCAACTAATAAATTTATAACTTGACAATATTTACATTAAAAATTAATCACGATAGTTTCAAAGTATAACTTAATTTACAGGTGTTTTATATTTCTTACTCTCTACCAATATAGTAAATAGCTTTCCTGTTCATTGTGGTTACAATTTAATATTTTAACTTTGGCACCCTTAGACAAAAAAAACGCTAATTTACTTTTATAGATTTCTAAAATTTTACTTTTTAATTTTTTGAAAAGACGACTTTTAATTTTAATGTTAAAAACACAAATAAGGCGATGATAAATGTGTCTGAACGTTTAATATAAACTACTTTCTTTTATCATAAATTAAATGGTAACCCATTAAAATGTTAAAATAACATTTGTGAAATATAATGGTACACACAATATAGAAAAATATATGAAAAAATAGAGAATGATTTAAAAGCATTTCCTGTGAACAATTGATGGACCAGATTCGTCGTATTCTTGTTTGCTGATCCACATCTGCTGGAAGGTTGACAGGGAAGCCAGAATGGAGCCACCGATCCATACAGAGTACTTCCTCTCAGGTGGAGCAATGATTTTGATTTTCATCGTGCTCGGGGCCATTGCGGTGATTTCCTTTTGCATTCTGTCGGCAATACCTATGAAAAATATGGATCAAATAAATTTAATGCAAATTTGATTAAAACAAAATTTCCAGCTGAACAGCTGCATTTCGTTTAAAAACATACCTGGGAACATAGTGGATCCACCGCTCATGACAGTGTTGGCATACAAATCTTTACGGATGTCGACATCGCATTTCATGATACTGTTGAAAGTGGTTTCATGAATACCAGCAGATTCCATACCCAAGAAGGCAGGCTGGAAAACAGATTCCGGACAACGGAAACGTTCGTTACCGATGGTGATGACCTATTCAAGCATAAAAAGTTCAAATAAATTATTATAGTTACATGCAGATTGAAAATTTTATAAAATTATAATCAAATGTTTCTTACTTGGCCATCGGGAAGTTCGTAGCTCTTTTCGAGAGATGACGATGAAGCGGCAGTGGCCATTTCTTGTTCAAAGTCCAAAGCGACGTAGCACAACTTTTCTTTGATGTCTCTGACAATTTCTCTTTCGGCGGTAGTTGTGAATGAATAACCTCTTTCCGTCAAGATTTTCATCAAATAATCGGTCAAATCTCTACCGGCCAAATCAAGACGCAAGATGGCATGGGGTAAAGCATAACCTTCATAAATTGGAACGGTGTGAGTGACACCATCTCCAGAATCCAGCACAATACCGGTTGTACGTCCGGAAGCGTACAGAGAAAGAACGGCTTGGATGGCAACGTACATTGCGGGTGAGTTGAATGTCTCAAACATGATTTGAGTCATCTTTTCTCTGTTGGCTTTGGGGTTAAGAGGGGCTTCGGTCAACAAAACTGGGTGTTCTTCTGGGGCAACACGCAATTCATTGTAAAAGGTGTGGTGCCAAATTTTTTCCATATCGTCCCAGTTTGTGACGATACCGTGCTCAATTGGGTATTTGAGAGTCAAGATACCTCTCTTGCTTTGGGCTTCATCTCCCACGTAGCTGTCTTTTTGTCCCATACCCACCATGACACCCTGAGTAATTCGAACAATGTTTGTGACTATTTTTCAATCGTTCTTAGTTGTTTTCATATAATTTTAATCATCTATATTACGAAGTTTATTTTAGACAATTTTGAAAAAAGCAGTTTTATTGGAAAATTGTTCCAATATATTCAATTTGACGATAAAAACCGAATTCACCTATTTTTCGAAAATTATAATGTTTTTTGCTTGTGCATTGTAAATTGTCTAAACTATTATTTACTTCATGTGATCAAACATTTGATGTTTACTAATAATTTTTAATCGTTAGGTTAAAAAGACGTAAAATTTTGATGTGGTTTTTTAAAAAAAATTATTTATCCAAACCTGGTGCCTGGGCCTCCCGACGATGGAAGGGAAAACAGCTCTTGGTGCATCGTCTCCTGCAAATCCAGCTTTGCACAGACCTGATCCGTTGTCTACAACGAGAGCGGTAACGTCTTCGTCGCACATCTTGATTGATTTATTTAATGATTTCAATAAAAAAATCAAGTTACAGAACTTTACCGAAAAAAGCCAACAACGTTTGGCAAACGTTCTCCTTTATAAATGTTTCGTTATAACCATATATGGAAGAAGTTTCACAATTTGCTTTGCGATTCTTGCGTAGCTTTTGCTAAACTGATGCACACAAGCATAATGTTGTTCTGCAATTTTTCCCATACACGTTATGTATACAGCTTCCGATTTGAATATTTGCTTTCGAACCACTTAATTAATATTCATGTCGTTCGTTACATAGTTATACTGCATTTGATGCCAACTTTAATGATCAAACAAAAAAAATTTTTAAACGTTATCAGTATAGTAATGCAAGTTTACATTTTTCTAACGAAGCATTTATTTGCATATACATGTACATTAAAAAATGTGCACATTCATGCTTTAACTTTTACGATTAGCATCAACAAAAGTACACTACTCATATTGCTTATGCATATTTTTATGTACGTTCTTATAGATGGGCTTGTTGTATTGTACATATTTGTTTGTTTGTTCATTCGTTCGTTTGTTGGCTCGTTGTTCGTTCTTTCGTTGGTTTGTTTATTGGTTCGTACGTTTGTTTATTTGTTCGTTCGTTAGTTTGTTAATTAACTCTTTTAACAGCCTTTTTGTGCATAACAAACATTCAAACAGTTAATCAAAATAAAACTTCATAAATGTTGGCGGATATGAATTCGCAATATTTGAAAATTAATCAACAGTATATGACTGCTGATACCATGATACACTTTAACACTTCTTTTATAACTTTTTATATTTCAATTTGAGCATCGAGCCACTGACACATGGAAATAGCAAATAAAAATAATTTGTTAGAAGTTTTTGTCACCAAATGTTTAATTGAAAAATAAATTTTAATTAAATATAATTTTTACAACAGCTGAATCCTACAACAAACATTTTCATATTTTAAAAATTTTACTTAAAAAAACTTTTAAATAAATAAAAATAAAACTTAGTTATAATAAATAACAAAAAATAAATTGTAACAAAAACATAACTTCTGGATATAATAATTTAATAAAAAAGAGATCTAAAAATAGCGCTCATTACAATCGTTCATTGAAAAGTTTACATCGTACGCTGGTAAACCAATGAGAAATGTACGAGTGCAGCATGAAGCTGTGTGTATCATATATTTCGTTTACGTGTGTATGTGATGCGTAAGTAAAGCAATATGCTGTAGTGTAGCTTATATTAATACTTACAGTTTTATACGGATATAATGCTGGGAAAAGGAAAAGTAATAGGCTTACAAAAATGGTTTGTTGAATAAATTTATGCATAGCAGCAGTTAGATGAACACAACATGACCATAAAAGGAATTATTTTAGCTGATATATAAGGTGATGAACAAGTTTGTTCTTCAACTTTTTGCATTTGATTTCTTATCCAGCTTTGCAATTTAGTTGAATCAATCAAGATGTGCGACGAAGACGTTACCGCTCTCGTTGTAGACAACGGATCAGGTCTGTGCAAAGCTGGATTTGCAGGAGACGATGCACCAAGAGCTGTTTTCCCTTCCATCGTCGGGAGGCCCAGGCACCAGGTTTGGATAAATAATTTTTTTTAAAAAACCACATCAAAATTTTACGTCTTTTTAACCTAACGATTAAAAATTATTAGTAAACATCAAATGTTTGATCACATGAAGTAAATAATAGTTTAGACAATTTACAATGCACAAGCAAAAAACATTATAATTTTCGAAAAATAGGTGAATTCGGTTTTTATCGTCAAATTGAATATATTGGAACAATTTTCCAATAAAACTGCTTTTTTCAAAATTGTCTAAAATAAACTTCGTAATATAGATGATTAAAATTATATGAAAACAACTAAGAACGATTGAAAAATAGTCACAAACATTGTTCGAATTACTCAGGGTGTCATGGTGGGTATGGGACAAAAAGACAGCTACGTGGGAGATGAAGCCCAAAGCAAGAGAGGTATCTTGACTCTCAAATACCCAATTGAGCACGGTATCGTCACAAACTGGGACGATATGGAAAAAATTTGGCACCACACCTTTTACAATGAATTGCGTGTTGCCCCAGAAGAACACCCAGTTTTGTTGACCGAAGCCCCTCTTAACCCCAAAGCCAACAGAGAAAAGATGACTCAAATCATGTTTGAGACATTCAACTCACCCGCAATGTACGTTGCCATCCAAGCCGTTCTTTCTCTGTACGCTTCCGGACGTACAACCGGTATTGTGCTGGATTCTGGAGATGGTGTCACTCACACCGTTCCAATTTATGAAGGTTATGCTTTACCCCATGCCATCTTGCGTCTTGATTTGGCCGGTAGAGATTTGACCGATTATTTGATGAAAATCTTGACGGAAAGAGGTTATTCATTCACAACTACCGCCGAAAGAGAAATTGTCAGAGACATCAAAGAAAAGTTGTGCTACGTCGCTTTGGACTTTGAACAAGAAATGGCCACTGCCGCTTCATCGTCATCTCTCGAAAAGAGCTACGAACTTCCCGATGGCCAAGTAAGAAACATTTGATTATAATTTTATAAAATTTTCAATCTGCATGTAACTATAATAATTTATTTGAACTTTTTATGCTTGAATAGGTCATCACCATCGGTAACGAACGTTTCCGTTGTCCGGAATCTGTTTTCCAGCCTGCCTTCTTGGGTATGGAATCTGCTGGTATTCATGAAACCACTTTCAACAGTATCATGAAATGCGATGTCGACATCCGTAAAGATTTGTATGCCAACACTGTCATGAGCGGTGGATCCACTATGTTCCCAGGTATGTTTTTAAACGAAATGCAGCTGTTCAGCTGGAAATTTTGTTTTAATCAAATTTGCATTAAATTTATTTGATCCATATTTTTCATAGGTATTGCCGACAGAATGCAAAAGGAAATCACCGCAATGGCCCCGAGCACGATGAAAATCAAAATCATTGCTCCACCTGAGAGGAAGTACTCTGTATGGATCGGTGGCTCCATTCTGGCTTCCCTGTCAACCTTCCAGCAGATGTGGATCAGCAAACAAGAATACGACGAATCTGGTCCATCAATTGTTCACAGGAAATGCTTCTAAATTGATTTTCTTTCTATCGCATTACCTGAAAATGCGTCTTTCGCGTTTTATTTTTTTGTTATTTTATTGAACTTTAATAGTTTAAAGTAACCTATTAATTTCAAATAAATCTCTTCTTCGAGAAACGTGTTCATTTATTACAAACATAATCAACTTATATTTATTCTCTAAGTTATTTACTTTTTTTTCTCACCAAAGCTCATTTCTTAAATAAATTTTAATCTTCAGCCCTAAATGTGTTCTCTTCTGTGTTAAATGTAAATAAAAGTTAAAATAAATGTAACCTTTACTAAATAAATATTTATATTTTTTAAGTCGTGTACAGTACATGTTTTATCCATCTTTTCTTAAGCAGTTAATTTAATAGTTTTTATCAACATGGAGAACTTACTTTTAGAATAAGAATGAAAACTATCTAAAAATTTCTATAAAAGTAATTTTGAAGCAACCAAAGTTTTTAAAATGCTATCCTGTTTAGTTTGCTAGTGAAGATTAACTAATTCGAGACAGAAATTTTAAAGTTTATGTTTAGTGACCATCTGTTTACCGTTATGAAGTAGTACTGAGACAAAGAAATAAATTAGGACCGGATTAAGCCTTTGACGAGACCTAGACAAAATATCAAATTCAGGTTCTCACTTTTTTAAAGAAATTGCTAGTGAAACAGTCAAATATCAACAACAATATTTATTTATTGTTATTTTGTTAAATTAAACCCATAATTTTATTTAGTTTTACAAACTACGCCAATTTGTTTCAGATTTTTTCTTGCGCATAAACATTAAATTACATATTAGAATTGAGTTAAATCACTGGACATAAAAGTTGACCTAAAAGCAGTTGCGTCATTATTATCCACATTCTTTGATACTCTTGCTTCTAAAAAGTATAGGGTACTACAGTAAAAGTCCTCTAGAGCGGGACCCTAAAGAACGGACAGATAAGAGTAACGGACAGTATTGCTTGGCACGGAACCGTTTTGCATGTTAAATAGACCCTAAAGAACGGACATTTTAAAGGAATGAACTACGGACGGGGTTTTAAGTACAAATTTATTGCGGTCGTGTTAATAAACTGTTGTGTAATAATGGAGTCGACTCTGCAAAAAAAATTTTTAAACTTGGAAGAAAAAATGCTGGTGGTGAAAAAATTAAATGATGGAGTTAGCATACGAAAAATTGCTGAAGAATTTGGTTGCGGAAATACAGATGTGCAGCTGATTGAAGCTGATTCTACCATAACCAGCCCTTTGAGTTCTGTTACTTGGGAGAATTTTGTAACCATGGATAACAATGATGACTCAATCCATAGCCCACAAAGTTTTGAAAATCATGAACAATTTGAAGTCCAAGATGATGAAGAGGAAGAAGAGGCTCCAGTCCAAGAAGTTTCTACAAAGATGGCATTACAATGTGCCAGGAAGCTAACTTCCTATTCGATACATATGGGCAATAGAGAATTGTTACAATTTTCTGAGAACATTGAAAATATTTTAGAAATTGAATTGTTAAAAACAAAATGTTTTGGCAAACAGACAACTATGAATGATTTTCTTCCATAACAATATTAAAAACGTGTTGTTTTATTTTAATTTTTTATGTAGTATATCAAAAAAGATTTTGATGTTGAGTCTTGAGGAGAGGACAGTTTGGTCATTCCCCAATGGTGTCCTCTTTAGAGGACTTTTACTGTATAAAAACAATACGATAAGTCAATACTAGCATAATATACCACGGTAAACTCGCCAACCCAATAAGTTTTTCAAATATTTTTCAACACGTTTTAAAACAGGAATAAGTTCTTTTCCTCTAACGTTACTTAAACCTAGAGCCCTGTGCGGTTAACCTCAACGTGGTTTTAAATTTCGATAACTTCACCACCTTCGCGGTTTCCATATATGTTTGTGCATTCGCCGCGAATGCAACTTCAAACATTTATTTTGAAAACCATCTGTACAATTGCACAATTCAATTTTCAAAATAAATGAAAATATTTCTTATTTTTTCACTGCAGATCATAGACTATCATAGCCGGAGGTGGTGATGAGGTTAAGCTCTTGTCACAATAAAAATACCCCCATGGCGTGCGTCTCAAATAGCCTCTGACAGTCAGAGTTCAAATCCTGGCCTTCTCGTGGCGAAACTGTTTAAACTAACAAGAGAAGGGGCGAAAGCGGGTTAATAGCGCATCAAAACTAGTCGCTTCGGGGTGATGGGGCTCGTTACCCACCCATCTAGGAAAAGGTAAATTCTGATTTCAAACCTCCACCGCTTTGTGGCTATACTCTTTCTAGAGAAAGGCTAAGAGAGTAAACCCTAACAGAAAATCTGGCGTGTGAGTGCATCTTTAAGATGATATGGTTGCTTCAACCTCTACTTTGCTTGCACGTTTGTCTGGCAAACAACTGGGAACAACAACAGCCAAAGTATTATCCACATGGAGTCGTCTCAAAAAAACCTCATACCGCATCGCTCGTTGCGCGGGTTAACAAGAAGCGCGCAGTCTCGGTAATCGTCGGCCAACTGTGATAAGCAAAATACGGCGAAAAACTCTATTTGTGACTCCATTTTACGGTCCCGTGCTGGAGCCAACCCGCTTGATCTGCGAGACACCACCAGGATCGGCTTATGGAACATTCGCTCACTTTGCGCAACGGGTGGCGAAAGGATCCTCGTGGACGAATTGTCGCGACACGGTATATGCATTATGGGCCTGCAGGAAGTTCGATGGCATGGCGATGGTGAACTGTGTTATGCTGATTTCAATATACTGTGGTCGGGCCCAGCTGAGGGTCATCCCAGGCTCGCTGGTGTTGCTTTGGTCCTGAGCAATCAAGCTAATCGTGCACTGATTGAATGGCACCAGATCAGTAAAAGGCTGATGGTTGCTCGTTTCAGACATCTATATGATACTATGTTAGCGATTGTCTGCTACGCGCCAACTAATGAAGCGTCAGCTGAGACCAAAGATCTCTTTTACACCGCATTGAAGGACTCGTTTCTCTTCACTAGGTCTAACGACCACATCATTTGCCCTCTAACGCGGTAACGAGTGTTGACCGCCGTATGCCTGCGGTAGTTGGTCTTTTTGTATATATGAAAAATGCAGTCTAAACCGATTAGAAATATTATTATTAATTTGAATAAATTGAATAAAATCGATAAAATAATTGTTCGAAAAATTGAAAAAATTAGTTACAAACTCAACAGTGCGGAAAATGCGGTGATATAATATATATATATATATATATATATATATATATATATAAAGAGAGAGAGATAGTGGAGATATATATACATATATATATATATATATATATATAGAAAGAGAGAGAGGGGGGGAAAGAGAGAAAGAAAGAGAAAAAGTTATTGGATATTGTACATATGAAACTAATCAAACTAAAATTAAAATAATTAGACCGACTAAATAATTGCGAATGATTAATTATTATTAATTCTGATAAATAATAACAACTAAACAACTGAAAATAAATATACATGAAAAAAATATAGTTTACAATTATCTTAAAAAGCAACGGGGTTTAGGTTTTATAAGCTAATTTGTGATGTTTAACATTTGTTTGCTTTCATTTCCAATTTTTGTGTGAACCACCGCACAGGCAATTTGTTTTGTTATCGTAATATAAGCACACCCACATAAGCGATCCCGCAAGATTGGAGCAAGCATCAGTTAGCATCAGACAGCATCGTCATCCACGCACGTGTGTAGCCGCATAAATTCGAATGAGTTGGATCTGTCGACATCCATGGAAACCGATTCTCATACCTGTATGCCTCTCAGAAAATTAAATCTATAAAAAGAATATCATGCCGAACATTTAATGGCATGACATTTAATCATTTTGCGTTGAATCAAACGAGGCTTTTAATTTTATAAAGTGTGCTCAACTCTCTCAGGAAAAAATTCTTAATTCGTTTTTAAGTTATAAAAAATTGAGCTTGTAGCCAATGAATCCAAAATACGATCTTTATGGGATCGCAAAATACTAAGATAAGCAGGATCCAGATCCACACTCGTCTTCTCATCACAGACCACCACACTTCAACATCCGTGGATCCAAACATAGAGGTTGAAGGCAAAAAATTGTCAACTAAAATCAAGCAGAAAAAAGAAAGCAACCCAGAAAAGTTTGTTGGTTCGAAATCGGGCTCTGCAACTGAATTTAACGTCGGTTAGTTCAATGTTACCTGATTTTTTTTCAAAAAATTCATTCATGTATATATATATATATATATATATATATATATATATATATATATATATATATATATATATGGTTTTAATAGATAGATAGATAGATAGGTAGGAAGGTATGTATGCTTGTATGTATGTAGGTAGGTAGGTAGGTAGGTGGGTAGGTAGGTAGGTAGGTTGGTATGTAGGTAGGTCGGTAGGTAAGTCGGTAGGTAGGTAAGTAGGTAGGTAGGTAGGTGGATAGGAAGGTGAAAAGGTAGGTAGGTCGATAGATAAATGGTATAAATGTGTAAATAAAAACTATTGGTGGTTAAATTCTGAATATTCTTACATTTTTCAAAATTAAATTGTCATTTTATCAATAATTCGAGTTCAAATACTGATTTTATAAATAAAATTTTTAAATTCATGATAAGTGGTGCATGCATATTTTCTTTTGAAAACTTTTTTTTTATTTGAAATCCAGCTGCTCTCAAATATTTACTTTCTCGGTTTTCAACTTTTATATCGGTTTTTAAAGATATTTCACAGCTATAATTGTAATTAAATAATTATGCATGCTTTTATAATTTATTTTTTCAATTTTATCTTTTTAATTTTTAGCATTTCACTCTGTTTACCTTTGATGAGTTCAATTTTGTTTGATCCTGTTAGTTTTAAACGATACGTTTGTTTTTATTTAAATAGCTTTTTAAGGACAATAATATATTGCTTTGTGAAACAAATTTTACAAAAATTTATTTTAAAAATAAAGGCTTAAGGTTTAAAATTTATTTTAAAAATAAAGGCTTAAAATAAATTAGAATTTATAGATATCATTACTTAAGAAAACAGTATGCAACTGTACCTTGAATTTATAAATTGTAATAATTTGAGGGAAATGATTTTTATGCACGTAGAAACGTGCTAAACCATATACACAGATTAATAGACTGAGTATAATAAAAAACATTTGCTAAATAAAATTAGACGTATTTCAGTTAGATTTCAGTTTGGTTTCAAACCAGGCCATTAACATTAGGTAACATTTGATACAACGTGAGGTACCTACGATTCAAATCAGGCATGGCTAGCAGAAAAATAAATGAAATAAATTTTTGGGTGCTATAATAATAATAATATAAAAAGTGTTGTCGGTGTTTTAATCCTTCATAATATTAATTTCTTCAGTAATTGTTGGTAGCTCATACATGAAGCGAACTGCAAAAAAGGTTTCAAAAGCATCGAAACCACTACAGCCTAACGAAGGGCTGTCGAAGAAAAATAATGCTGAAATCAAGCCAGCAACAGTGCCAACATCAAACAACAAATCATCTTCAAGCCACAAACGAAAAAGTGCTGAACAGACCGAACGAGTTGAAAAAAATAAACATTATGAATACCCAAATCCTGAAACTAGAGAGGCTGTTAGCTTTGCTATTGAAAAGTAAATGTATTTTACTCCCATGGAAATCTTTAAAATTCTTTTAAAATCAATTAAAATTCTTTTAAAATGAATGCTCTTCTGATAGGACAAAAAAAATTCTCAACGTGTTGATTAAAAAGAAGATGAAAGAGAGCATGATTGAACATATGAATTACATTGTGACAGTCTTGCAAGCAGTCAGCGAATCCAAGACTCGGTAAGCTAAAACTAAATTGAAATTTTTAAACTTCATCGTAGATCACTTATAAGTTAATTTTTAATTTAGAGATCTTTAGAGACTATTTAATCTTCATTGATTATTTAATTGAAATTTATTCATTGAAACATTTTTCAACAAACTTGCAGATTTTTCGTTTTCATCGTTATTTTCATCTATTTAAAAAATATTTATTCATCAAGTCAACTGCTAGAAAACGATATTGAAGCTGAGGAAGTGTTAAGTGAAGTAGAAACAAAGAACTATCCATCAGAAGTTCGTGATTGGTTGACGATGACATTCACAAGGTCACTGTCAAATGTGAGAAAAGCCGAAGACAGACTTCACTTCAGAGGGGTGGCCACAGCAATCAGGGCCGGCATCGTGGTTGACAGGTTGTTTCTGTATCAGTTTCCATGGTTTCTTCCTTATCATTTTTATTAAATTTTAAAAATTGATGACGAAAAATAATTAATGGCAGTATGTTTAATTTAACGAAAAAAGTTAACGTTTGGAAAAGAACTTACAAAAACTTTCAAGCAATCTTGCACTTACTTTTTTCATCCGGCATGTAAAATAACGAGATTAAATGATGCGCAACATTTTTCAATTTGGAAAAAAATTGAGTGACAATGTTACCGTTAGAACAGCAAGGAATATTAAAATTTGTTATTTAATTTCAAATGTTCATAAAATATTATATCAAAGTTATCTGAAGTAATTAAAATATCATAAAGTCATCAATATTTTGCAAAATTGTTTTAACAAATGTTAACGATTAATGATAGAGTAAGACTTCATCTCCTCTGCAGAATATATAGGCGTATGTCCAGTTCTGTCGGCATTCACGTCCCTCCTAACGTCCTCCTACAAATGAAGGTTAGGCAAAATTTATTTTTTCAAGTTCTATTAAAGACTCTTACTTTCAAACTTCTCTGTTTGGAAAAAGAATATTAAATGGTTTATGAATAGGCCAAGTTTTTCACAACAAATTTTTTGAGTTATTAATATTTCTAAGCATAAAAAAATTGTTTATACATACTAATAGTAATCGTGAACCATAAATAGACACGTCAGATAAGCTTTATGTGATGATTATTTATGTTTGTTGTTTTACGAAGCGTTTATAATCTTCATTCGCTGTAATCGGGCTTCTTTCATAATTATATTTATAATTCTAGTTTTCCAATGATGTCCGAGCAACGTATCGTGTAATTCGTAAAATTAAGAATATATTTCTTGCTGATTTTTTTGACCATCACTTGATTGTAAGTTCTTTAGCTATAAGAGCCTCATGTTTATTGTTTACATAAAATTTACATAAAAATAAATTCAAATTTTAAAAATATATACTGCAATTAATTTTTTATGAGTTGTAAAGAAGATATCGGGGATGTTTATACGATATTATAAGAATGTATGAATGTATCGTATTTAAGAGTTTCAATATCTATATATTAAACTCAGCAGACCAGCATAAAATGATTCTGTCAAATGAAATTTTAATCAAAAAAATACTTTAAATTTTTTAATTTTTTTTTATTATACACTTCTTTTTCTGCAGTCTAATCATGTGATGCTCTATTTTACAATTTTTACCCACTCCGGATTTACCTGGCTAGCTGAAATCTCACAAGTGTATCATATTCGATGAACGTTATTTATAAAAATTTAATTTAATTATTCAATCATGCCTAAATTGACTCAATCAGCTTGCTTTTGTAGTAGTTTTATTAACAAACGTGACATTTGAAAGTGTGGTTTTTTTTACCAAAATGTTCTTAATGCTCTGTTAAATAAATTTAATTAATTATCAGACTTCGTAAATTCAAGTATATTTATAAGGAAAAAATAAATAATATATGTAAATAATAAATGTAAGTAATAAATTTTAACTATAAAACTAAACTTTTAAATTTTCAAAGTGTTATTTAAACTTTCAGTTAAAACTAATAACTCACTTTGTCAGAAAAAAGCCTTCAAAAATTTGTTTTTTTAATCTTTTCATACATGTTGAATCATATATTGGCTATCTATTGCATATATAACAGCATTGCAGGAAGTTGGATGCGCATGGAGAGAATTAAAAAAGCAATTTAATATCTTCTGATTCGATGTCTGATCAAAACAATGTGCTTGTGTGGATATGTTAGTGTATATGGCTAAAGTTATAAACGATAGTCATTTTTTAATAGTGTGGTGAATTGCAAGTGTTAAAATATACTTTTAATCCAAAAATTTTTTACTAAATAATAAAGTTGTAATAATCGGTTAGAAAAAAGAGATTGACTTTAATTATGTTTAAATTATTACACCTAGACGGTAGCGTACCGAGGGTGACTGACGCTATATAAATTTAAATTCTTTTATTTAACCACAAAAACAGCTTGCTATTAAAACAGAAATGGTCAGCATAATTTACCATATGAAATAATTTATGACAGTAATTCAAGCGGGTTTCAACAACATACTGCAATCATTGATTTCTGTAAAAAGTTCTATTTCATCAATATCTGTTTCTTGCCTTAACTCATCCATATCAGTGTCATCCTCACTGGAGTTATTTTCTGCTTGTTTCAGTTTTAAGAATTGCTGCATGAAAACCAGATTTTTTACAATCCACTTCTTGTTCTCGTTTTCTTTTGCGTTGTTGAGTTCCACTCAATTTCTTGTTTGTTAACATGATTTAATTTTTCTAAATACTTGAGAAAAAATTTGTTTTATTAGTAAAAGCTGCAAAACATCTTTGGCACTATTTCCCGAGCGATTATATTCTTGTATAACGTGTTTGTCCTTCAGTAACTAACCTAACATACATAAATATCAAATATATGCTCAAGTCTCTGTCTATAAAAATTTTAAAGTTCCATAATTATTTTTGGAATACGCTCAACGATCGTGATAAACTATTGTTTTTTAACGTCAATGCTTCGTAGACTTACTTTAGTTTCAGAAAAACAAAATTATTTGCCAAAAATTTTCAACATCGGCGTCTATTACATTATCGATTTGGATACTGAGAAATCAAATTCGAACATCACTATTCACTAAATCTAAATGACCGACTTAGCCGATTTTATATTTGGCTGGCTAGTGAAAGTGTTAGAATGTGGTGACTATATAAGTTTTTAAGAAGGTTTCCTAATGGACAAATTTATTAAAATGAAATTTTCTAAATCAAAGTAACAATTAAAGTTTCAAAGTTTATGTAGTATTTTTATACCCATTTTGGCCCAGGCGCCTGAAACGACTGCCTCCTTCTTTTTCAGCACGCCACTGCACTTAGATTTACATTTAAATAAATAATACAATATTTGAATTGAAAAACCATAAACATTGAATTGATTAAACGTGGTAAATTAAAGTAAACTTCATTTTTACTGGTGAAAAGAGATACCAATATTCCTGGTTGATTTATTAACACAAGTCATTACAAGCTATTAATACAAGTCATAGTTTTTAATTTTATTTAGTTGTAACCAATAGTTTTATTTTATATGTACGTTTGCAACTGCTGATAGATAACTTTTTCTTTCAAAATTCTTTCAAATAAGATAAAAAATAATCGGTAATTCACTTCTTTCAAGTGGTCACGTGTTGAGACAATGTTTTGATCTAAAAAACGGAGGTACTAAGTGTACCCTATGTTGTGTCAGAAAATTTGCTATGCCCTATATACGAATCCTAAACAACATTTTAATTTTTAATTTTCGCGATAAGTTCAAACTTAAAACTACTGGTTCATTACTAATCTTCTTCTATGTAAATATTAACAAATTTATATCTCAATAATATTATTAACCAGTGGCGGATCTAAGAAGAGGCGGCCCCGCTGTGAGCATTATTTGTGTTAAAAGCTATAAAAGTTGTTTTTTGGAGGAAAAATTGAAATTATAAGTCCCAAAATATGGTAGATAAAATTTTGACCACAACCATAACAGTTGCCCCCCCCGTTAAATAGTTGGCTCTCCCCGGTAAAAATTAAAACATTTTTTTGAACAAACTTGTTAAATTTCTCCCCACCCCTCCGGTCATCAACTTCTAGTAGAAATTGTAATAAGAGAAAAATTATTTACCCCCATTATACAATAAAAATTTAAATTTGTTTATATATTTTTTAATGTTTTTATTGAAACGTTATAAAGTTATTGAAATATTCATCAAAAAATATTTATTTTTTTAATTATTTATGAACCCTAAGCACTTAAAAAAAGTTCTTAGTTGGAATTTTTATAGAAAATGCAGTTGAGTGAGCAGGTGTTGGAAGATTAAAATTTTTGCCGTAGGGATTTGTATTAGATAAAAATTAATGAAATTTTGTCATTCGTATTTCGCCATCGCACTCATAATATTTTGCGTCACGAAACCTAACCATTATACCTGGTTGCGAGGACTCACTACTAAACGAATATGATTTCTAACAGGTCGATTTTGTCGTGGTAAAAAGAATTTCAGTTTTATGTTGACAAATCGCAGTATACGTGCAAAATATATATAATAATAGAACAAACAAAAATTTTAATGTACCTAAGATTAATAAATCTGATAACTACTTTGGTTAATTATGTTTTTTCATATATATGATTGTGGTTACAGCTGTTCGTTAATGGACGTATGTTCAATCACTTCATAATGTAAAATGGAAAATGATGATTGATGTTAGTGACATGTGAAATATAAGAAAAAATTGTGAGACTGATTCCAGAATACCCACTGAACCCACTAGACCACGAAGGAGGAAAATATTGAAAATTCTGTATAAAATGTAGCAGTAAAGTAAGCGTAAATGTAAGAAAAATATTCATTAACTAGAGAACTTGAGAATTTTGAAAATCATTCCCCACCAAAACAAAAAAAAACGGAAATTATGATAAATTAAAATAAAAAAGGTCATTAACCCTAGAATTTGAAAACCATACTCTCAAAACAAAATTGAAGACAAGCCACTGCAAATAAAATTGTTTTTCTTTGTTTAGGTCGCAAAGTGAAAAATAAGAATAATAGAAAAAAACAAGGAATTTTTCTGGAAGTTGGTCCCAAGAAGTTCGAAAAATTTGAACTTCAGAGCAGAAACGGCTGCATTGTTTCATTAATTAATATAAAAATAATACTGAAAATTAATTTAATATTTTAATGGCCAGAAAAATAAAACTTATAAGCTAACAAATTATTTTGCTAAATACTGTTAATAAGACGAAATTGTGGTTTAGAGAAAGTTGGTCCGCGTGATGTTTTGATGTATTCGTATGTTGAACATGCTATAATTTCATGCTAGATATAAAAAAAGGTAGGTTGTATCAGCAGTTGTAAGATACGGATTATAAGATTTTTAATTTTGTTCTTAGTGGACTGAACTCTTAGAATGGCAAATAAAATAGTCTTGCAGTTATTGGTTTAACGGACAATTACTAAAACAACATTATTCGAAGCTAGCTATTTCAAACCAAACGATCAAATTATTATTTTTTAAGTATCTTCCTTGTGATTCAAATACAACAATAAATATCTTTTTTTTTACTTCGAAACAAACAAGGGGTGCGTGCAGAGTTGCCTGTAATGGCTAAGTTCAATTCAACTCTTACTATGAGAATCCAACTCTTAGTTCCGGATGGAATACAAAAATTATGCAAAAACCAAAATTTAAGTTTTTTTGAGTAAATATTTCATTATTTTTTGTATTTCAAATTTCTTCACGTCACTTTGTTATCATTACAACACAGAAAATATAGTGAAAGGAATATTGATGAATTTCTAAATTTGAGAAGTTAACCAAAAATTGTGTTAATTCATACATTTGTTTCTAGTAGCTATAAACTATTAATATATAAATTTATTAATTTTGTAAATCTTTTCCTGATTTCCATATAACTATTTTCAAAAACATTGGATCATGGCCGTCGTCCGGCGGTGCTATTAACAATAATTAATTAGAATGGTTTAAATTTTTATGGCGTAGGTAGATTGTTGTTATAAAAGATGCGATCAGCAAAGTACAGGTACAATGAAACGTTCCTATCAATATATACTGCAATTCCTCACCTTGCTGAACGCGTACGTATGTGTCTACCGTGCTAGATCTATCATTCTATTCGAGGATGTTTGGATCACAATTTGTTATATGAATAAAATAATAATATTTATGTTATTCTATTTATGTTATAATGCTATACATGTTATTCTAAACTTGTAATTAAACTTTCGTGTCACCAAGGCTGTACAACACTATCCACATTAGCATTTGATTTTCATCTTCAATCACTTGTGTACATTAATTAATTTGAAAAAGGACTTGGATGATTGGAATTTCGATGTTTTCAAAGTCAACGAAATAGGAGAAGGTCACGCCCTAAAATACGTTGGATATGAGCTCTTTCAGAAGCATGACCTCATCAACAAATTTAAGGTTAGTTTTATTATCTTATATCCAATCATCAGAGTTATTTTGCTTGTATTTACATGCCCTTGTGCTCATGTTCAATAAATAATTGATGATCTGATCCAAGGGGAGGCCTATTCACCAATATTCAACACTTTCTTATGGGTTGAAGCAGGGATATGCAAAGAATCTCAATTTTTTCAACTTTTAATTATTTTCGGTAATGTTGATATTATTTATTTTAATTTTTACCAAATAAAAGTAATTAATCACCACATTGAATAACAATTTAAAAAAATTAAAATTTTAACATTTTAAATAAAAGCAATATTCCGTAGTTAGTAAATTACGTAGATTGTAACTTTTGACTCGAACGATAAAAAATCACTCTCCAACTCTCCTCCGGAAGTAAGCTCCTTGTTCGACCGTTGAAAGTGAGCGAAGGCTGTTATATTTATTCTAGTTATATAATCTGATCAATAACTGGTAAAATGTTTGCGAGCGCGCGCACACACACACGCACATACATATATACTCATATATATATATATATATATATATATATATATATATATATATATATATATATTTATGTGTGTGTGTGGTTAAGGAATTTTATAAGAACAGGACAACAAAAATTAACACGGACCACAAAATAACTTACTATGCGTCCAGGTATAACAAGAATTTTGTTAAAAAAAATTAAAAGCAAATAATAATTAGGTCTCGATTGTTTATATATTTGCAAAGAACATTATTAATTTCTAAAATAACATTGGTTCACCTAAATAATCCTTATTTATTTCACTGCTGATTTTTTAAACAAGCAATGGGATTTGTCTTAGGCTACACCTACAGTTGAACATTTATTAAAAAGTGTAAATTTGTATAAATTCAAACAAAAACTGAAATGCAGTGGCTCAGAAACATTGAGAAAGCCCCAGAGGAATATTTGTTCAAATATTTTTGTATAAGGTATCTTGCTTATCTTATTTATCAATCAACTAAAAGTTCATAAAGTAAATGCATAATGCTGTTTTTTCACCAAAAAATAACAAAAAAAACGAATTGGGTTGACCATAAAAAACACTTCAAGCGACCAAAAAAATTTCTGACGTCGCCATAGTAGCGAGTGGAAGTTAAATTTATAATTCTGCAGATGCTCTTCTAGTTTAATATTTTCATTTAAAAATTGTAATTCAATTATTTAATAAAAATCAAAATTAATGATGTGCGGTATTATATTTAAATCTGTTAAAATTAATTTATGCAGATAAGTACAAGTGCTCTTGATAATTTTCTTGGTAAATTGGAACAAGGCTACAGTAAGTATAACAATCCATATCACAATCTGGTCCACGGGGCCGACGTTACTCAGACGACACATTTTGTCATCAGCAGCACTGATTTTATTGTGAGTTGATGTTCAACATTTGTTCCTAAAATTTCATTTAAAAAGTACAACTTAAAAAGCAATTTAACTGTAAAGAGTTTTGGTAGTATTGTCACAGTTACACAACTTATTTTTGTTTGTTAGCTATGGCTGTCGGATCTTGATGTTTTTGCTGTGTTGGTCTCAGCTTTAATTCATGATTATGAACACACTGGAACGACGAATGCATTTCAAGTTAATACAAAGTACATTAAAATTATTATTGTTATTGTTATTTTCATAACATTACAGATACAACTCATACACACACACACACAAACACACACACACACACACACACAGATATATATATATATATATATATATATATATATATTGTGTGTGTGTGTGTGTATAATTGTATATCAATATATATATATGTATAATTGTATATATACAAAAAGTTATATATACATATATATATATATATATACATATATATATACAATTATACATATATATATATTTATATATATATATACATATATATTTGGATTGTGGTAAATAAACTGTTGTGCAAAGAAAAAACTTCAAATTCATTTACCGATTTTGAAGCGAACGATTTTGCTACATTCTTTTTTTGACAAAATTAAAAATGTACGAGAATCGATGGTGTATGATGAGAAGTTTAATCATTCATCTGATGTCTGCTGCAGCAACTTGTTTTCAGTTTTTTCTGTTTATGACGAAAACGAAATTGTCGAAGCAGTTTTAAACTCTCCATCTAAAACATGTTCACTGGGTTGTGTTCCTTCACACTTTTTCACAAAATATGTAAGATTGTTTTCAAAATATTTGACTGATTTTATAAACTTATGTTTACGTACTGGTGAGTTTTCGGCTATGTTAAAGCATGCTACAATTTCTCCTCTTTTGAAAAAGGAAAAATTAGACAAGTCTGATCTTAATAATTTTAGACCGGTTTCAAATCTGTCGTTTTTGTCAAAATTAATTGAAAGATTAGTTTCTAAGGAGCTTATAAAACACTTAGATAAAAACAATTTGTTACCGGTCTATCAGTCAGGTTATAGAAGACATCATTCTACCGAAACTGCTTTGTTGCATGTGTTATCTAAGTTGCATAAAAATATAAACAACAGTAAACCATCTCTTCTTGGATTCTTAGATATGAGTTCGGCATTTAACTGTGTCGACCATTGCATTCTTCTGAAACGTCTTAATCATAGATTTGGAATAACTGGCTCTGTCGAACAATGGTTTCGGTCGTACTTAACAAACAGAACTCAGCAGGTAATCTACAAGAATAAGACCTTTTCGGTTCAAACGATAAGATTTGCCGTTCCACAGGGCTCGGTTCTCGGACCGATCTTGTTTATTCTTTACACCTCTGAAATTATTGAGGCGATCGGATTACATGGTTTGGAGTGTCATGCATTTGCAGATGATGTTCAGCTTTTCGCCAAAGAATCCTATAGCAACTTTCATCTTGCAGTTGATCGTTTTGTTAAATGTTTGGTCGAGATCAAGAAATAGATGGCAAATAATCGTCTTAAGCTCAATCAAAGTAAGACGCAAATTTTTCTGGTTGGAACTTGGCAACAGCTGTCTAGAATTAAAATTAATTCAGTTATCATTGAGGGCTCAAATATAAACTTCATTCCCAAAGCTACAAACTTGGGTGTCATTTTTGATTCTAAACTGGCAATGACTGAACATATCAAGTTTTTATCTGGTACTGCAACCCTACAACTGCAAAAATTAAAAATAATCCGCAAAAGCTTAACCAAAGATGTTATTCAAAGTTTAGTGCATTCGTTTATTCATTCTAGACTGGATTACTGTAACAGCCTATTTTATGGTTTGCCTGAAAAATCGTTATCTGTGCTTCAGTCAATTCAGAATCGGGCAGCTAAGATCGTGGTTGGTGCAAAAAAGTTTGACCATGTTACCCCGATATTCAGAGAACTGCACTGGTTGATGGTCAAAAAAAGAATTTTGTTCAAAATATCAACAATCATGTTCAAATGTATAAAGGGAATGGCGCCAGTTTATTTGAAAGAAATGCATGCACCGAAACAACTGTCTTTTAAAACTGTCTGCTTAAGGTCTGATGATAGCAACTTGTTATGTGTGCCCCAAACCAACTTGAAAATGGCTGAGAGAAGTTTCTCAGTATGTGGACCAGCCGTTTGGAATAGTCTAACAAGTTATCTAAGAACAGCCGAACTGACAGAAAAATTGTTCAAGAAATTATTGAAATCATTTTTGTTTTCATTATAAGATTTGGTTTATCGTAGCAATTCAACTGTTTTTTTTTTGTTTTTTTTTTAGACAGTGCTTTTGAGAAACTTTTTGTTTGTAATTAGCGCTATACAAATTTTCGAATAATATATATATATATATATATATATATATATATATGTATATATATATATATATATATATAATTATTTATAAAGACCACTGCGTTTTCGGCCTTATTCAACTTGTAGTTAAGTTTCTCAATTATATATATATATTTTTTCATTTTATTTTTTTAAATAAAAAATAAAATAAAAAAATATACATACTGTTTCTTTATTTGAGCATCTGGGCACATACACAACTTATCAATTTGAACACCGAAGATGGTATAGGAATACGAAAATGCTTTTTTGTTCTATCATGCATAAAATAAACAAAAATTTTGGTTTTGAACTAAAGAAACTTGAAAAGTTAAATTGGAAGTTAACTAACGTCGAACATGCTGTGATTTTCATCAATAACTACATTTCTGACAGTCTTACTCCAATATATATATATATATATTTGTATGTGTTTGTGTGTGTGTGCGCGTGTTTGCGCGTGTGTTGTTTGTAGTTCATTTAATTCATCTATTTACTTATTCATAAATTTTTTTATCTAGATCTGAATTGGCCTATCTGTATAATGATAGAAATGTTTTGGAGAATCATCACGTCAGTGCAACATTCAGACTCATGAAAGAGGAAACGAACAACATCCTAATGTCTCTAACAAAAGAAGAGTTCAAGTTGGTGGAGCTCACTTTTTTATTTCTCTATAAATTAATTGTTTTAATAATTGTTTATTAAATTCGAGTCTTATTTCCAATATTTTTTTATATTCATTCAATGTTGCTTCGTTAAAATTATTTTAAATTTTGTACTAACAGGGAATTTCGGGCACTTGTCATTGAAATTGTTCTTGCCACAGACATGTCATTTCATTTTCAGCAGCTAAAAAACATGAAAAATTTATTAACCACACCGGAGAAGTAACCCAAACATCAAATGTCCATTGACTTAAATTACGTTTGATAATTTTAACATTCAGTATAGATAAGCCGAAAGCCTTGTCACTGTTGGTACACTGTGCAGATATCAGTCATCCTGGCAAAAACTGGAGGCTTCATGAAAAGTGGACCAACCTTCTTGTTGAAGAGTTCTTCAGACAAGTTAGAATCAGGGTGTCGGAGTCGGATAAAAACTTTTTCCACTTCGACTCCTTAGTTGAAAATTTTCCGACTTCGGGTAAATGTTTCCGACTTCCGACTCTAGTCTAGGTTTCGACTCAGAAAAAATTTAAACTTTTGCTTTATAATTTTACATAAATACTACCACTAAATGAAAGTTACTTCTAAAAAGATTTGTTATTATAATAATTTAAAAAAAAGAACATTAGGTAATATAAAAAATTTAAGAAAATTTCAAACTGCTGAATAAATAGTTTAGTGAACGACTTTAAAAGCATTATAAAACAATGAAACATCAGCATAATCAATGGTACGAAACGTTATCACAAAATCACAGTCTTGGAAAATTGAACCTAATCATTTTACCGTCTTTAATGAACTAATTTAGAAAATTGTTATGTAAAATGATTTTTGTACAAAAGTTTCAAGATAGCTATTAGCTACAAAGCGCGTTTGACTGCATTTATTTTAAATATTGAAGATGATTGCATATTGCTACATGCACCAAAAACCGCGAGCATGAAACAAAATTTTTAGAAGAAAATAATATTGAAACAAGGGTGATCGTGAAGCTGAACTGGATTTGCCAATATCACCTCTATGTGACCGAAAAAACACAATTGTTGCTGAGTCCCAGATCGGTAAAACGTTTTCATAAAAATTGTTTAATATTTCGTACATAGTTTAAATTTGTAAACAGGTTTTATTGATTTTATCGTGGATCCAAGTTTTCAAGTGTTAGGCGACATGTTAGACAAAATAGTAATTCCTTTAAAAGAACAAAAGCAAGAATATGCCTCTGATGAAAGTAAAATTTCGACTAACGTTCCTTCAATCTCGAGTCCTTGGTCTTCTTCATCTTGTGCGAAATTCAACGAAGACATCGGTTGGTTTTGCTTTAGTTATTTAGCTATAAAACTATAAATAACTATTATCTTTAAATCTTATCTATTTTGTCTCATCTAGCACCAAACCATCGTAATCTACTCCCAAACGTTTAACTTCAAATCTTTTTAGAATGCCTATTCTTATTTCAATTCTCACAAAATTTGTCTATTTTTCAATTTTCGCAAAACAATATAGTGATTACGATATTTTACAATTATATTGAAGTAAAATAATAAATATCAAACTATATATATCAAACTATATTTATCAAATAATTATGCTTGTGAAAGTAAACAAAACGATTTTAAAATTTGCAGTTGAAAAACTAAAAGTTAATCGTGTTTGGCTGCCGTGCTTGCAAGGAAACAAATTGAACTGGCAAAACAAAGCAATCAAAGGTTTTATGATGTGGTTTAGTGATGTTAAGATGGTGTAATGGCTAAGTTGCTTACACTGCTATCATAGTCACAGGGTTCGAATACGGTGATCTGAGCTTATCATTTGCAAAGTGTATGACTGGTTGATTCATCACCGCTTTTTTATATGCGTTTTGTTTTGCGTTTTGTTGACATTTCTGTAAAATATTCAAGTGAATAATAAATTAAATTAATTATTCTTTTCTGCTTAGTTTTACAAAATCAAATATGCTGTGTACGAGACAAAATTTTTGTTGTTGATTTAAAATTTACTTAGAAAAAAGAAACCATTTTAATATTTCGACATTTGCATGATGTTATTAACACTGTTGTTCTATTCGTTTGCTATTGATTAGAAATTAATTAACTTACTAAATAGTAAATCAACCAATCAATTAAATTTATATAGTCCAATTCCTAAAAATTCTCAACATAAACGCAAAACAAACGATTATGAAGAAGTACACAAAAATAAAATGAAATAAAATGAATATAAAAGAAAATAAAGAATAAAAGCGTGCATAAATATTCAATCCGTTTAATTTTATTTAATTTTTTATAAATATCAGATGCTGAAATAGCTGGTAAAAAATTGGAGGAGGAAAGATTGGAGTCACCAAACTTAGGAGTGCTGTCATCCTCATCCATCGGATTGGAGCACGAACACAAAAAAAATAAAGAAAAAAATGAAGAAAATGATAAAGATTTGTCAGGTCATCTGAAGGATAACAATGATGACCTGAAGAAAGATGAAAGAAATGATGGAGACCTCAACGTCGTCGATGATGAAAAAAAGGAAGGTGCAGATGAGGATGAGAGAGTTCTGTCGCCCGATCAAAGAAGTTTGGTCGATTCTGAACCTGGTAAGATTTTTAAAAATTGTAGGTTGACCTTTAACCTATTTTGCAAATATCTGTATAAAAAATAAATCGAATTTTAAACTATTGCAGCTCATTCTGGTGACGAAGCAAACATTGACAGTCCAGCCAAGAATTCTCAGTCGATTCCTGACATTTAACTTTTCAAAGATTTTGAAAGAGGCAAAAGTGATATAAGTAGCAGCGGTAGTAATTATTTTCAATAGTCAGACTAATTTTGAAATTACTTTTAAATACAGATTAAATTATTTTTATATGAAAAATATTTCAATGTAAATTCAAGATTATATTGACCAATTTACTTAAAATACTTTTCAAAAGCGCGTTTTATATTTTAAGCAATAGAAATTATTTGATAATTTTTCTAAATGTTTGAACTGTGTTTGGATATATTTTTATAGATTTTTTCTGTGTTTATTTAGCAAAGTTTATCATATTTCAATTTATGGACATATGATTAATTTTAATCTTTTTTGTTGGTTTGTTAATCGTTCTAAATGTTAGAAATAAAGTATTTATGTGTGTAAAAATTTTTAAATGTTCTGTGTAATTTTTTAATAAGAATAAGCAATTAAATTCATAAACTAATCGTAAAATACTTCAAATTCGAAAATATTTAAGCAAAAAACTTTTTACTAAAATAGTCACGTTTAAAAATTGAGCATATTTACACACCAGGTCTCAGAGATATCTCTAAACTCTATCATCCCTAATGTATTTTTATCTTTTCAATGTTTTTCTTAATAAGTTATAGTTGAATTTTATTTTTTTAAATGAAGGAAATAATAAATAAACTTGAGTGAACTCCAAATGTATTTTTCAATGATATATCTAATAAAAATAATAATCTTATCACTTTCGAAAGTGGTAAAAACAAATTAAAATTACTTGTTTGATTTAAAAAAAATTACTTTCTCAAATTACATTAGGACTGATGAAGAAATATATATATATATGTATGTATATTGCTCAAGACATTATAATAACATTTTAACACACTTTTTATCATTATCGTAACAAAAGAACCCTGTAATATTAAAGCAATTTGTATTTATCAATTTGTCACTTTATAACACGTTTACAATGTTTATATTAAATTTTCAACTTATTGAGTTTATTTTTTATTCTTTGCTCAAATTACATTCGACTCCTTTTCTTCATGATGTTGATGAATTTTTTAATCTTTTTTATTTCTTGTATACTTCATTATAATTCTGATATTCTTGAAAAAAAGGTTTCTATGAAATTTTTCACTTTTGGTTGGTTCAAAAACAAACAATTGAAAAGGGGTTTTAAAATATTGAAAGTTTTATCAGGTAACTGAATCAGATCTGGTTCTTCTCTTGTTAACTAAAATCTCATTTTGGGTTTTGAAATGTTCGATTCCTCACTAAACATTTGTTACTCTAAGGTAGACCTGATAGCAGTCGCTACAAAGTCGACTGAGTCATGTCATGAACATTTCGAGTCACCACAGCCATGTTTAAAAAAAATTCACGTCAAACCGTTTTGAAATGCAAATTTTCAACTGAAGAGTGCAATATAATTAAAGTTTATAATATTTTAAAAGTTTTAAAAATTTAGATTAGATAACAACCTGTGCGTTCAAATCGTAGGGGATGGGCAATGGCACAGAGAAGGAAGTATGTCGGTGGTCCATAGGAAAAGCTGAGGGTGTGTTTAATCACACAAGCCAATGTAGGGATCAAACATTCATTTATTAACTATCTTATGTATTAATTATTATTAAAGATTATTGCAATTTTCAATGTTACTTAATCGATGCTAATTTTTATGTCTTTGCTTCTCTCTCGATCTTCTTCCCTTTTTCCTGAGAGCTTGTAAAACGAAACGGTTCGAGATTCACGTGGGAATAACGATAATATTTTATTACGCCTGAATTGTGTTTGTTTTATTTATTTTAACTCACAACAAGGTGTCTTGTTAGTAGCATAAGTTCGTACCAACAAATTGGTGACCTCCGACGTGATCTGAACGAAAATCCGACGTGATTTAAACGAAAATCCCACGTGATTTTGAACGAAAATCTGACGTAAAAAGAAATACGAAGATCCACGTGGTAAGATTAAAACGAAAACAATGTTTCAACCAAATGATGACTCGATCGCCATATTACCTCTTTTCAAGAAAACAGCGTCAACAGATTGGTTCGAGAATTCCGAAATGCAATTTCAATTGCGAAACGTGATGTGTAAAACAACAAGATTCTATCACGTAATAATTTCCCTGCCGTTGGATATAGTCTCAAATTTGTCGTTAAAAGTGCAAAGAGGAACAGATTACGACGCTCTAAAAGCAGAGTTGCTATCAACGTTCAAACAAACAAAACCAGAGCAATTCCAAGAAAAAGAATCTTTTAAAATAAATTTGAATCTGATGAATGTAAACAAAATCGAAGAGAGGCAGCCATCAGAAGAGTCCAATAAAATAAAAGTCGTCCTGAGCAAGAACGAAGATAAAAATGACATCCAACAATCACAACAGCAAAATGCTGAGCAGAATGCTACCATCCCATCAGCAAATTCACACATGAACGATTCTCTCCTTCCAGTTCTCTCTCTTCTTTCTCCTGTTTAACAGCAGCAGCAGCAAGATCATCACAGAAAGAGAAAAGCAGAGCATAGTTCATCGTCCTCACACGCATCTCATTCTAGAAATCGTTTGCAGCTGGACAGAAGGTTGCATGAGAGGCCAGAACAAAATTTGAACCAGCAACCAAAACGGCAACCGCGTTTTCAGCAACCACGCCATCATCAACATCTCATGAAACAAGATAAATATCAACCAAATTATCAGCGACAAAAGCAACATCATTACGAGAAACAAGTTAAACGCCAGCGATATCAGTACCAACAACCACATCTTCAAAGAAGAGTGGAAAATTCAATTCAAATCAAAAAACAAACATTTTTCCATTTGAATGGCTCCGCCTCTTACGAGGGAATATTGTGAAAATGAAATATCTCCAGCAATAGCATTAACAGGAACCAACTTATTATTACCAAGTCGATTTTTATTCCCAGATTCAAATGAAGAAATAACATCTAGTCAAATCAAACAACTAGCAAAAGAAATGTTCAAACTTAATGACTACCTAACAAATAACAATCAACATCACTCTACCCTAAAAGCTTTCGTACCAAATGACCTTTCAAACAGTAGTCACGTATGGTTAAGAGTAGATCGAGTACGTCGTCCACTGGAAGCACCATATACAGGCCCTTTCAAAGTGATTGAACGTAACGAAAAATACTTTAAAATTGAATTGTTACCAGGAAATTTTCAAAATGTGTCAATTGATCGATTAAAGCCAGCTTGTTTATCATTACCTCTAACAGCCAAAACCAGAATAAACAACAAGAATAGTTCGACAACGAATAACAAACTTTCTACAACAGATTCAACAAAACAGCAACATCAGACACAAAATCTATTGAAACACCAGAAACAGCAACACCAATATCAGGTGCAACAACAACACAAGAAACAAGACCGACGTCAACCACATCGGAACCAACAACCCAACACTCCAGAAAAGGGAGGCGAATAACATTCAACAAACGAAATGTATATTTTTATTTTTAAACGGCACCGCCTTTTGTGGGGGAGTATTGTAGGGATCAAACATTCATTTATTAACTATCTTATGTATTAATTATTATTAAAGATTATTGCAATTTTCAATGTTACTTAATCGATGCTAATTTTTATGTCTTTGCTTCTCTCTCGATCTTCTTCCCTTTTTCCTGAGAGCTTGTAAAACGAAACGGTTCGAGATTCACGTGGGAATAACGATAATATTTTATTACGCCTGAATTGTGTTTGTTTTATTTATTTTAACTCACAACAAGATGTCTTAATAGTAGCATAAGTTCGTACTAACACCAAAATTACTTGGATCCCAAAGCTGAGTACGATTAACCTGGTAACGCTAAGCTGAGCTGGCTAAAGTTAGAGTGGTTAGAGAAAAGCCTATGTAAATAGGAACGTAGACTGGCAATACATATATAAAGCATGCTTTATATTTTTCTAATCCACCACCTTGTGGTTTCAAAAAATCAGGAATGAAGCCCTTAGGCGTTGGGATTACTAATAGTCGTTTTCCTGCAACCAAGTCGGTGCCAAATGTAATGCTTAGCACGCCTTTGTATTACATAAACAAGGTCAAGAGAGGAATCATGATACATGAGCAACTCATGATCCCTTAATAAATGCCCAAAAATTCGACCCGGAGAGGAAATTCTGGAGCTGCGACTTGGCGACTGAAACAACATGAGAAGTAGCAGTTACGGGTTATAAGTCCAGTCTCATTGTTTTAAGGTACGGACGCCACTGGTTGTCTCTGACAGCGGAATAGGACTTTGTGCCTTTACTGATCAGCTATCGCACACCTGATCTGGACAAGCTCCAGACAATAAGGTGTTGATCCGCCACAGCTTGTCTGCTCTAATGGTTGGCTTAGAGCAGTGCTTTTCAAAGTGGTGGTCCGCGGACCGGTGCCGGTCCACAGACTAGCAGCTCCCGGTCCGCGGCGAGCTGCCAAAATTTTTTAAAATATTCAAAATGAAAAAATAAATATAAGATTTGACCAGCAACACAAAAAAAATTTCATTTATTAGTACTGGTGGGATAAGAATAGAAGCGAGAGCCAGAATGATCTCTGCAACCAATGAGATTCATTTTTCTAAATTGACGAGATAAGTAAATATGTGAGGGTGGTCAGCTGTTTAAAAAAACATGGTTAGAAAGTGAGCAAGAAATAGTATTTCACGCGTGATATATTAACCGTAACCGACCATATATACATATATATATATATATATATATATATATATATATATATATATATATATATATATATATATATATATAGTTAAAGATTGCCTCAAAGAAGTTTGTTTTGAGATGCTTGGTAAACAGGTCACCAAAAAAATTGATTAAATACCACTTTCTGATAATACTATCGGTCGTCGCATTAGTGATATGGCAGAAGACCTAGAGCTACAGCTCATAGAACATATAAAAGTGTCGAAGTATTTTTCTTTGTAGCTCGATGAAAGCACAGATGTAGCTAATATGGATATATTGTTCGTTTGTGTTAGATTTGAATTTGAAGGCGATTTAAAGGAGGAATTTTTCTTTTTAACATCACTGCCAAATATCAAAGTAATTGTAATTATTATTAATTTTTAATAAACATTGTAGCCAAAAGATTCCATGTTTCTAAAATTAACAAAATCTACAAATCTACTAGCATTCACGGTATATTATTGTGTATATATATATATATGTATATGTATATATATATATATATATATATATATAA